AGAAATTGCACAAACACACTTGGCAAAATAAAGAGTGAGATTTGCCCAGTAAGATGGTGATGCAGGGAGAACATGAGGCTACTGTGCTGGAGGCTTCGCTCACTCTCAGTGTTTCAGGGTAGGGCAGGGAGGTGGTGGAGAAAGAATTCTCTGACAGCTGAGGGAATGCCCCAGACCCTTATGAAAAGAAGAGCAAAGAAGGGTTTGTTCAGTCCCTCCTGTCTTAGATCTGCTTTCCCAGCCCTCAGGCTCGATTGATTAAAGAAATGTTGATCAAGAAGATACCAGTAAGGGAATAGGAATGCAAGATATTGAGGAAGTAAAACCAAGTTAGGGTGCAATTTCAGGTGAAATTCCAGCCCAGAGCCTGTGCGACATGAAGAGCACTGCAGAGTGTGTCCCACACTGAAGCCAGAAAGCTGGACTACCATCCCCCTGAACGTGTTATCATAGCTCCAGGCCACAGGGTCTCAGCAAAGTGGCTCATGGGCAGTCATCTGAAGAGCGCTGTGGACCTCAGCTGACAGGAGTAAACATGGGTATTGGTGGCCAGAACCAGCAAAGGAATCCACAGATACTGGACATTTACACTATCTGCCACAGCTTCTTGCCAGTTCAAAACAACCAGTTGTTGATTCTGACTTAACGGCAACCCCATATGTGTGGAGTAGAGCTGTGCTCCAGGAGGTTTTCAGTGACTGTGTTTTCGGAAGTAGAGTACCAGGCTTCTCTTTTTATGTCTTTGTTAAATACACGTAACTGAGCTCGGTAGTGTAGTGGTTACGAATCAGGCTGCTAACCTCAGGGTTAGCAGTTCGAAACTGCCAGCTCTTACGCGGGAAAAAGATGAGACGTTCTGCTCCCATAAAGATTTACAGCCTCAGAAACCTAGTACAGGGTCGCTGTGAGTCGGAACCAACTCCACGGCACACAACAACAACTGTCACTTATGGGAGTCCTGGTGTGGTGCTAAGCCACAGGTCGGCAGTTCAAACCCACAGCTGTTCCTCAGAAACCCTATACAAGGTCACTATAAATCAGAGTCCACTCGACAGCATGTAAAACCAACTGTCACATACCCTATTCTCAAATAATTAGCCTCTCTACATTTTCTTGTGGCTTTGAGGATATGCTCTGGTGGTTCAAACCTACCAGCAGCTCCTCTGAAACCCTGTACAGGGTCACTATGAGTCCGAATCAACTCAACAGCACTTAACAACAACTCCAGCATTTTCTTAGAATATTAACCTTGGTGGCACTATAGGATAATCACTGGACAGCTAACTATAATGTCAGCAGTTCAAACTCCCCAGTTGCTTTTCAGGAGAAAGATGAGGTTTTCTGTCCCCATAGGATTTGTTGTTGTTAAGTGCAGTGGAGTGGGTTCTGACTCATAGCAACCTTGTACAGGGTTTCCCAATCACCTCAATGCCAATGGGTGGTCAGTGGACTTTTTCTTATTCTGTAATTAATAAAAATAAAAAATATGTACTCTGATTTTTATGATAGGCTGTGGAAATATGTGTTGATGAGGAACTGGTTATTAATGAATAATTGATAGTGTTCTCTGCTATCAGCTCCATGCTAAACAGTCTGATCACAGATTCTGCTGGCTTTTTGAAATGTTCCAAACCACTCACAGTCTCTTATGTTGTTGGTGTTACGTGCCATTGTAGCAACCCTGTAAAGGGTTTCCAAGGAGCAGCTGATGAGTTTGAACTGCCAACCTCACAGTTCAAACTGACCTTGTGGTTGAGTGCTTATCCCTCACACATATATTTAATCCAGATGAAAAATAACTCAAAATGGAGATGATTCCCAGACTCAGCTGTATTAACCCATGGTGGTGGTGGTTATGTGCCGTGGAGTCTATTCCAACTCATAGCGACCCTGTACAGGGTTTCCGAGGTTGTAAATCTTTACTGGAGGAGAAAGCCTCTTCTTTCTCCTGCAGAACAGCTGGTAGTTTCCAACTGCTGACCTTGCGGTTCACAGCCCAATTCGTAACCACTACGCTACCAGAACTCCTTGTATTAACCCAGGGCTATCAGCATAATCACAGCCATGAAGTGGTGCCCCTTACCCTTGAAGAATGCTTAGCTTATCTCTCAACCTTAATGGAGGTCACTGAGTCACTGACACCTTCCCCTCCCATCCAGTGGGTGGAGTGGTGATCTTTCAGCGTCTGTTATCCTGTTACGTTGAACATACTTCATGTAGGCTGTAGATTCATACTTAGCTTTGAAAACTTCCCACAAATATTCAGTGCCACATAGGACAGACAATACTTGTAGATACTCCTAAAATGCAGTTTCAGATGTAGTCTGCTCTTCAGGGACAGGCTGGTCTACCTTCTTTCTGTTGCCTAGGTTTTCCTTCAGAGTCTCTGGGTGTTGCAAACAGTTCATGCATTCAGCTGTTAACCAAAAGGTTAGAGATTCAAGTCCATCCAGAGGTGCTTTAGAAGAAAGTCCTGGTTATCTACTTCTAAAATACTAGCCATTAAAAATCCAATGGAGCACAGTTCTACTTTGACACACATTGGGCCACCTTGAGTCAGAACAGATTTAATAGCAACTGGGTAAACAAGAAAAAAAGACAAAAGAAGGAAAAAAATAGTTGCCGTAGGAACATTTTATGATAGAAATCTTAAAATTGACTAAAAGAAGACTTCAGATTTGAGTAGAAAAAGACAGCTGTTCAGAGAGATAGAGACCTTCCGTACTATGCAACCACAAAGAATAACTGGGTTGATGTGAAAAAGAGAACAAAGGAGAGACTATTGAAGGCAGAAACCTGCCCCATTAACCCAAATAGGATATTTTGAGTCAATTCCTACTTATTTTATAACCTGGATTGCAGATTTTAGTCCTGGCTTAGTTTCTTAATAATTATAAATGTACAAGGGAGTTTCAAAAAAAGTTTATGGAAAGTTTTCATTATCTTATTTTTTTAAGCTTTCATTGTGAATTGAGTGATGGTTTCCATGGGAGAACATCCGTTTTATACTCATCCTCTCATATTTCATTTCATTGCAAGGATTACAGTCCCTTCCATGCATCATCATTCAACAGTATTTACTTCTATTCCCTCTCGTTTTTTGTTTTGTTTTGTTTTTTATGTACACAAAAACACTCAGGAATATATAATCATTTAAACAACCCAAGGGCACATTCTGCAACCAGCCTCCTGGCCACTAGCAGACAGCCTTTCTCTTTCCATGAGTGTAGAGTGCTCAGCTGCTCCATCTCTCCATGTCCTCATATCTGCTTCCATTTCTGGTGTTGCTACTTCTCTGGATAGGGTTGTCTGTTCCTAGATTGTAAGATTAACTGCTCTCTCCTTTTTGTTACAAAACTTCTACCTTTACTGTTGTGATAATCACAATTAGTCATGATAACAATTATTCACTATTGAATCATAAGAATCTTATCCCCATCTTCTTTTACCAGACCTGTTTAGACAAGATGAAAACTATTCAGTGGGGATTCTACCTTTCTCCACACACTTTGAAACTAAACTCCATCTTTAACACTTGTAAGCCAGCTACTTTGTGCCGTTATAGCCCCCTCGTTTTAGGTATGTCTTTGTCTATGTTGCCTGTCCCTGTCAACCCTGTGTACAGAAGGGATTTCATTATCTTTTAATTCCATTTTCTCCACAAACATTTTGCAGCCCCCTAATATGATCTTGGGTAAATCTCCAGCTTATCTAAACCCCACTTCCTTGACAACTCCATGGGGCTCATGTTTTAACCTCACAGTGTCATTAAAAGAATCAACAAAGAGAAGTCTACACATCATATTTTGTTAGTATTTTAAGGTGTACTATTATTATTACTGGAGTACTGGTGTGGCACTGTGAGTTAATGTGCCAGACTGCAAAGCCATTTGAACTGCAAGGTCGGCAGTTCAAGCTTACCAGCTGCTCTTCGGAAACCCTATAGGTTGCTATGGGTCGGAATTGACTTGACAGCACTTAACAACAACGTTATTATTACTAGAATTAGTAATTGAACCTTTGTCATTAAGTTTTTACTTCTATTATGTTTTAACTTAAAGGTAGGTCTTGACACTAGTACAATTGGAAGTGTTTATTTACTAATTCAAAGTAACCTGGTAATGCTGTGGGCTAGGTGTAGGACTGGTTCAAATCCACTAGCTGCTCAACAAAAGAAAGCTGAGGCTGTCTGCTCCTGTAAATATTTATAGTCTCAGAACTCTATATAGAGTCGCTGTGAGTCTGAATGGGCTTGATGGCAGTGGGTGAGTAGAATTTAAACAGAAAGAAGCCCTGGTGGCTCAGTGAGTTAAGTGTTGAACTGTTAACCAAAGATCAGCAGTTTGAGCCCACCAGCTCCTCTGCAGAAGAAAGATGAGACTGCTTGTTTCTGTAAAGATTTACGGTCTCGGAAACTGGGGGACAGTTCCACTCTGTTCTATGGAGTCACTGAGTCAGAATCAATCTGAAGGCAGGGGATTTTTGGCTAATTCAAATGGAGGCGTATAAATCATTTGATAATCCCATGTAAATAACAGTAATCACTGTAGCGTTATCCTTTAAGGCTTTCCTTCTTAGAGTATCCTCTATTGCAAAAGTGCTGTATTCATTTTGTTGCTATTTTTCCCGGAAGTACCATATTGTACATACAGTTTGGAGATTTAGAATTAACACCTTCATCTTTCTTATCCTAGTTGCTAGCTGTTCCCTTTTCCCAGCAATGTGTATGGACAATGGTGGAGGGGAACTGGCTGTATTCTCCTAGTTAGCAGGAGCCATTGGCAGCCTTCAGGAACAATGTGTAAAACAGTCTTGCTTTCTTCAGTCTCAAGATCTTTAGATAACTTTCTTTCAGCACATGTTATCCTCTTGAATACGTACACCATGTTCTTAATGGCTATTTCAGTTCTACTTCTGTACACACACTTGGTGGGGGAAAGCAAAGCCTGCTGCCAAGTCGTCTGATCGGTGTCTGTTTTCTTTCTGTCTTTTACATCTAGGTACGTGTGAAATTGGCTGGGCCTACTACTGCACCGGTGGAGGCGCTGCGGCTGCCATGCTCCTGTGCACATGGCTGGCTTGTTTCTCTGGCAAGAAACAGAAGCAGTACCCGTACTGAGAAGGCTCTGCCTACAGTACGCAGAGGAGAGGGCCCAAGGGCACGGAGGACCGTAGCAGCCAGCCACTTTCAAAGGGTGGAATAGCAGTGAAATAGTGGCTTATGCAAGAAAACCCAATGGGATCAGGAACATTCTATGATGCAGAAAGGTCACAGGAGACTATGGAATGGTAGAAAAACTGGACCAAACGCTGAAAATACCGTAGGGCATTGGGTGTTTCTATTCCACAGAGTATTGTTAACATATAAAACACACACACACAAACCTGGATATGCAAACAAGGTTTTTTTTTTTAAAAAAAAGATAAGGACTCAGAGAACCCAAAGGGCTAGTAGAAACAGTATTATATTGAGACAGTCCCTGTAGGTCTTGGCACTCCTAAAAGCACATTTAGCTGTACACATCCACACGCGTGCCCACGCAAACACAAATATGCACTTCCACACACGTGTTCATACAAAGACATGCTCAGTACACAGACTGTCCAGAGGTTTAGTGGTACATTACTCCTCTGTTTTCTTTTTAAGATACATTTAAAATACATTAATTTTACTATATGAAGCATACATTAAACCTAATAAATGGACCAATAAGCCACTCTATCAGTATTTTATATACTCTGCATAGACTCTGTATGCCTTCAACATGTTTTCAGTGTTTATGCAGGCCTTTAGAGTTATGCTTCTGTATTTCAGTATTCTTCACAAATATGCAATATTTCACTTTGTGAGTAGCTTCTGCTATGATATACTTATGAAGTAAAGGGCGCTTTCTTTCCACTTTAGAAGAAAATGTGTTTGAATATATGAGAGTAATGAGAGACATTTTCTAGCCATTAAATCTTGTTTTCCTTTGTCCATTATTGTACTGTGCTTTATCACTTTTATTTCAATATTCATTTTGTAACAAAAAAAGTGCTATTTTTTTTTTTTTTTGTATTTGAAAAGCTCTGTGAATAAATTTTCTCTTTGATCAATAAGTGAGTCTTAGAGTGGTGATTCCGTTTTGGGGTTTACCTCTAAATATGACCTTCAACTACATTGTTGGTTATTGTTAAGTGCCATCAAGTTGGTTCCCTCTCATATCGACCCTGTGTAGGGTTCTAAGAAATATCTGCTGAGTATGAACCACCAACCTTGAGGTTCAAACCAACCTTATAGTCGAGTGCTTATTCTACAGCACCACCCAAGGACTCTTTAACTACAGTAGTCCTGAAAATGTTCTTTTTAGACTTTGCACCTTCATCTATCCTATCCTGGGGCATGGTCTATGCAGATGTCTTAGTTTCCTTTTGTTATTGTTGTTAAGTGCCATCAAGTCAGTTCTGACTCATAGTGACCCAATAGGATTTCCAAGGAGTGACTGGTGAGTCTGAACTGCCAACTTTGTCTTTCAAACTGACCTTGTGGACAAGTGTTTGTCCTACAGCACCACACTAGGACCTAGTTTCCTAGAGCTGCTAGATCAGCAACGAAGTGGGCAGTTTGAAAAAACATACATTTTCAGTGTTACAGTTCTGAGGGCTAGAATTCAAATTCAGAGCATCTCTCTTGAGCACAAGGGGAAAATCCTGCCTTTTCTAGCCTGGCATCCTCAGGCATTCTTTGCCAGTCCTTGACTCCAAGACACATCCTGACCTGCAGCTTTACCCTTTGTGTGACTCTCTCTTGCTCATCATAAGCTTATACTTCAAACAAATTTTAACTGCACTTCCTGTCTGAATAGTATTAGGGCTTTTTAGTTCCCATGATCAAGTCTGAATTCCCTGTGTTCTCCTCTTCTATAAGACACCATTCAGAGGGATTAGGATTAGAGACCGCTGTACTTCTATGTGATTTAACTAGTGATCTTTTTTTTTTTTTTTTTAAATCATCAGTTGTTAAAAAACAAAACAAAACATCAGTTGTTGTAAACTTGCCCCAAATTCATGGGAATCCCTGGATCCTGCAAACAGTTAGTTAACTTGCTCAGCTGCTAACTGATCAACTAACAGTTTGAGTCTACCCAGAGACACCTCAGAAGACAAGTCAGGCAGTCTACTGCCAAAGAATCAGCCAGTGAGACCTAAGGGAGAAGAGTTATACGATGACACACATGAAGTCACCAGCATCCTCCAAGAAACATTCTGTTCTCCACAAACAAGGTCTCATTTACAGGCCCAGGGCTTAGGATTCCAATACACCTTCCCAGAGGCCACAAGTCATCTCACAACAACAGGATATTAAATGTTAGTAAGACATGGTTTCTGTTCTTAAGAAGTCCAGTCTTTCAGCTACACGCAACTAGAATACTAACTTTCTGGTTATTGCAATTCATGAGTTTCCAAATGTTCTTATGATAGGGGATTTGAGTTACATTTGAGAAGGTGGGAACTCTTCAGACATGACAGGGCCATGAACGTCTCATTGCAGTTAGGAAACATTCTAGGATGACCATCTCCAGGACAAGCTGCCTGGCACCCCCCACTAGTGCTGGGTTTCGTCTCTGCTGGGTGAGGGGCAGTGTACCTCTTTCCCTCAGAATTCTTGATCCCCAGTATAGAGATGTAATTAAAAGGAAAACATTGGGCATTTTGACCCCTCAGCAGAGCTACTTCTGTTCTACAGATTGAACAAGGGATACTCATTTTATTAAGCAACTCTGAGTAATTTATTGAATCCTCAAAAATTCAGTGTCTGTTAATTTCTAAATTACATACTTTTATATTTGTAAATGGAATATTCTGGCTATTTATACATGTAACTGTATTTTCTATACTTCATATATATATATATTTGGTTGGTTTTTTTGTTTTTCAATTTAATGTAAATATCTGACTATCATGCCTGCTTCTGGTTCTTCCTGGACGAACAATACAGTAATCTGCCAATAAAATTCTGGTCTCTCTGAGGCTTTGCTGCTATGGAAAAAACCATTCTGTCTTGAAAGCTGGATTCATAATGTGCTGGATGTTATTTGAGCAGGGCCTCTCTCCTCGGTGATTCTCTGTGAGGAAGACTGTGTTTTGTTCCCTCAATTAACCCCTCATGTGCTGTCTTGTTAAGTGCCGTGGCATGGTTCCACTCATAGTGACCCTGTATAGGGTTTCTGAGAAGTAACTGGTGGATTTGAACTGCTGATCTTATGGTTCACAGTTCAGTGCTGAACCTACAATGTCCTGCTTCTACTTTTAAAACAATGTAAACCGCACTTCCTCTCTGAAGCCTTAGGACTTCCTGGTTTCCACAATCAAGCTGGAGTTCTCTATGGAATTCATGGAGGTCTAGTTCTGTGGACGGTTTTAATGACAGCATTGCCATTTTTATGTAGTCCATATGATTTTGAGCCTTGTTATAATAAAATTCTAACCTTACATGATGAAGTAAACTGATAAACTCTAACATTTCAAGTTCTGACTAGTCATATGATTTTTGGGGGGATTCAAGGCATTCATGGGGAGCTTCTAATTTATTAAGAATGACACATACTGCTTTCCAAACTGAAATCAGGATTGATGAATAAATATTAACAAGAATAATAAATGCTGTGAAAGCATATAAGACTGCTTAGTGATCTCCATTGAGTAGGGGAAGCTTCATTTCCATAATCTTAAACACTACCTGTGCAGGCCTGTTTTGAAGAGGGAAAAATGATGTACAAGGAAGTTGATTGATATCACTGAATTGACTCCTAATTTTTAGAATATTCAGGTAGGTATCGGTGCAATAGATATCTTGGTGGCTGGTGGCTGTGTGCCGTGGAGTCGGTTCCAACTCATAGCGACCCTGTACAGGGTTTCCGTGGCTGTAAATCTGTACGGGAGCAGAATGACTCATCTTTCTCCCATGGAACTGCTGGTAGTTTCGAACTGCTGACCTTGCAATTTGCAGCCCTATTCGTAACCACTACACTACCAGAGCTCCTTAAATATCTATTGAGCACTTGCTACTTGCTCTGTGTTCAACTAAACGTGAAGCAATAAGTAAAGCACAATCTCTGTGCTTAACTTGGTCCCAAGTGGTGGGGAAGAGAGCATCCTTTTCACTACATGATTAGCATCTCATATGATGTCCACTGAATGTCCAGGACAGCAAGGGCATTCCTCCCAGGTACAGAATCCTGCACAGATGAATAAAGGCATAAGGAAAAAAAGAGAAGAAATTGCAAAGCTCTGCATTTCAAATGACATCATTAATAAGATTTAAAGGTAAAACATGCTGAATAAAGCAAGGGTGAGGAGAGGAACCTTTTCTCTGACAAAATTTATAACATCATTCGCACGCCTTACAAAAGTATCAACTTAAAAATTAACCTGCTGCACTTGGTCAAGGATTTAATTAACTCACACCTAATGTGATGGAGTCCTGGTGTGGCACTGTGGGTTAATGCACTGGACTGCAAAGTTGGTTTGAACTGCAAGGTCGGCGGTTCAAATTTACTAGCTGCTCCTCAAAAACCCTATACAGGGTCGCTGTGGGTTGGAGCAACAATGGTCTGAATGCTTGGGGAAATGGGGTGACAAATAGGATGATGCCATCCAGGTGAAAAATGAAAGAACCCCAAATTGTTATCATTGTTGTAAAGTGCAGTCGAGTCAGTTACAACTCATATTGACCCTGTATAGGGTTTCTGAGGAGCAATTGGTATCCCCAATTAGGCAGAGTTAATGGAGGTGGAGAAGATGGCTCAAATTAGAGAGAATAAATGATAAAATCAAAAGATAGGAGATGAAAAGGGAAGGAGGAGATTAGACACAATTCAGGTTTCTAGTGTAAGGCAGTGGGTAGCTGAGAATGTCATACAAAGAGCAGGATGAGAACAGAGAACAAGATGATATGTTAAGGACATGCTATGCTTGAGATGCTTGTGAAACTATCAAGGTGAAAAGTCTAGTGGTTGGTTGAAAATGAAGGCTTGAAGCTCAGGAGAAATGTTGGAGCCATACTTAGCAGATTGAGGTGGTATCAGTGAAATCACCACCACCACCAGTTGTGAATTAGATTACAACACATGGCAACCC